ACATTCACGTATATATATATGTATACGTATATATATGTCTATACACACATCTGGATATATCAACACAAACTTCCCATCTCATTTTCATGGCCCTCTTCTACATCTACGCGTCTACATACGCACAAACACGTACACACACACATCGATGCTCGCCCATATACCACCCATGCACTTGTATCCCGTCTATTTCTCATTCATAGTGCTATGCATCGCCCACCTTCTCTCCAGTTCGAGTTTGGCCCAAGCGTACAATCCACTTGCGCGCGAACTCTTTAACGCCGCGTTCGTCAGCTGCTGGTCTGAACTTTACGAGAAGTCGCAGGAAGAGTTGGTGGAGAACTTATATCGCGCGTTTGAGGTAGGTTAGGGGTCTTTAAGAAGTGTGGGGGGGGGGATATGTGGGTGTACTGTTTAAACCTGAGTGGTATCGTAAGAGTGAGATCGGACTCTGCGTATGTGTGTATATGCTGTAAAGACCCAGTACACGGTCAGTAGACACAAATAGTGCCGTATATGTACCATCGCGTTCTATTACACACCCCTCTACTCCATTTCATCAGGCCAAACCCGACTCGACAATGGAGCTTAAGTGCATAGAGATCTTCATATTATCCTCACTAGTGGCATTCTGCTTCTGCAACATACGCTCTTGACTCGTTTTTGGAAGTAGGGGTTTTATACGATTTTTATGTTGATACGGAAACCCTAAACCCTAGAACCAAAAGATCCTAACGACACGTAAATGTTTACGGAAAGTCTCGTTACATCAGTTACCTCCCACTTTCATCAGACTTTGCTGGATTCTCACTGAGTGTATCGGCACTAATATGCACAAATAGCCCTGAGAAACACCCGTACAAATCTCTGTATCACCCTTTCAATATTAACGGAAAGTCCCGTTACATCAGCTATCTCTGACTTTCATCTAACTTTACTAATTATCACTGAGTGTATCGGCACTAATGCACAAATAGGCCTGAAAATCACCATGGAGCACAATTTAACCCAGAAAAGACCCCCTTTGACACCCCATCGTCTCGCCTCTATTTACCTTCATCAGGCCAAGACCGTCCCATCAGATATCACACAGACTCTGCTGAATCTGGCGGAGTGCATGGAGCACGACGACAAGCGTCTCGCAGCCGACCACACAACACTAGCCGAATACGCAGCCAACTGCCACGCCTATGCAAAGGCACTGCACTACAGAGGTGGGTCATAGTCACATAGTGTATTAAGATATGTGTGTGTGTGTGTATGTTTGTCATAGTAACATAGTGTATTGAGATATATGTGTGTGTGTGTATGTTTGTCATAGTATCATAGTGTATTGAGATATATATGTGTGTGTGTATGTTTGTCATAGTCACATATTGTATTGAGATATATATATGTGTGTGTATGTTTGTCATAGTACCATATTGTATTGAGATATGTGTATGTTTGTGTATGTTTGTCATAGTAACATATTCTATTGAGACATGTGTATGTGTGTGTATGTTTGTCATTATAATATGTTCTATCGAGACATGTGTATGTTTGTGTATGTTTGTCATAGTAACATATTCTATTGAGACATGTGTTTGTGTGTGTATGTTTGTCATAGCAACATAGTGTATTGAGATATATATGTGTGTGTGTGTTTTTTTGTCATAGTAACATAGTGTATTGAGATATAATACGCAGCCAACTGCCACGCCTATGCAAAGGCACTGCACTACAGAGGTGTGCCATAGTAACATAGTGTATTGAGACATGTGTTTGTGTGTATAGATTTGCCATAGTAACATATTCTGTTGAGATATGTGTATGTGTGTGTATGTTTGTCATAGTAACATATTCTATGGAGACATGTGTATGTGTGTGTATGTTTGCTATTGAATTCGAAGATGTCGCCAACTGTCACGCCTATGCAAGGGCTCTGCACTACAGAGGTGTGCCATAGTAGCATAGTGTGTTGAGACATGTGTGTGTGTGTATGTTTGTCATAGAACATATTCTATGGAGACATGTGTATTTGTGTGTATGTTTGTCATAGTAACATATTCTATGGAGACATGTGTATGTGTGTGTATGTTTGTCATAGTAACATATTCTATGGAGACATGTGTATGTGTGTGTATGTTTGTCATAGTAACATAATCTATGGAGACATGTGTATTTGTGTGTATGTTTGTCATAGTAACATTTTCTATGGAGACATGTTTATGTGTGTGTATGTTTGTCATAGTAACATATTCTACGGAGACATGTGTATGTGTGTGTATGTTTGCTATTGAATTCGTAGATGTCGCCAACTGTCACACCTATGCAAAGGTACTGCACTGCAGAGGTGTCCCATCGTATCGTATTCTATTGAGATACTAAAACCAATATTAAAACAAACCCCTAAACCCTAAACCCTAAACTCTATCCCCCAAAACCCTCACCCCTGCCTGAACCCTGAACCCTAGACCTTAAAACCTTAAATCCTAACCTCCGCTCGGTCCACGTGCTGTTTCCCGCGTCTATTTACAGAGATGCAATTCCATCAGGACTCCAAAAACCCAGAAGTGATTGAGAAATTAATCGCCATCCTCAACCAGCTCAAACAACCCGAAGCCGCCGCAGGCATCCTCACGTACGCCAAGAAGAACGATACTCAGATGAGCATTCAGGAGCATTGGTATGTGTTTGAGTGTGTAGGTTGTGTGTGTGTGAGCAGTGTGTAGGTTGTGTGTGTGTGAGCAGTGTGTAGGCTGTGTGTGTGTGAGCAGTGTGTGTGAGAGCAGAGTGTAGGTTGTGTGTGTGTGAGCAGTGTGTAGGTTGTGTGTGTGTATCCTTGGGGTGTTTGTTTGAGTGTGTAGGTATGTAGAGAGTTGGGTGTCGATATATTGGAGGTACTTAG